TACATCACCAAAACAGTCTCACCCGATAAATAAGTGGCGTAGGCCGCAAACACTACCTAAAGTCCCACTAACCATTCCCGAACCGAAAGACTAGCTACCAAAAGCCCCACTAACAGTCCCTGAAATGAAAGACTGGCTACGAAAAGCCCCACTAACAGTTCCAATCGAACCAAAGCTTGCAGCACCAGCAGAGGGACGATTTACAGCAGATACATGAGGGTTCAAGACTGAGTCTAGAAGACTAGACTACTACTACTACTCCCAACTCTCACGCTGGACATGACAAGGTCTTGGGCACTGCTGCCCGTACCTCCCACAGTCCTGCCAGTAGCATCTACAGGATGCCACCCGGCGTCGGTTCCGCCGATGGCAGTACCACCAACAGAGGAACGACATACAACAATAATTGCACGAAGGTTCAAGCCTGAGTCTGCAAGACTACTACTCCCAACCCACATGCTGGACATGCCAAGGACTTGAGCACTGCTGCCCGTACCTCCCGCAGTCCTGCCAGTGACATCCGATTGATGCGCACCAGCGTACTCTGTTCCGCCGCTTCCGGGTGCAGCAGCTACTGGAACATAGGACTCCACCTGATCACCTCGTTGCCCAACAAGCGACTTGATTATTCTCGTGAGCTGGGACAACTGTGTCTCAATCGAATCCAATCTCTCACCACCAATAACATCCTGCGAATCACCCGGAGACGGGCCATCCACATGATCCCCAGCAGGCCCGGTCATCACGCAGCAAGGTGATCAATCTTCCTCCGTGCACTCTTGACGTACAGTCCGAGGGGACAAGCAGCAGTCGACTGGTTCGCTATAGCGTTGGTAAACTCGTGGCTGCTGGGGAAAATATGTTTTATTGATGAGACCTTGGACCAGGAGAAAAGGTCAAAAGGTGGAGTGAGCAAGGGTGGGGAGCACCACAGCACCGCAGCACCGCAGCCACCACCCGTGTCGCTCGACCAACGCACAAAAGCAGAACAAATTGATATCGAAACACCACGACTCAACAGACAGGGGCTACGTACTTCACAACGTACCATGAATCCTCTGACTGAAGCACTATCCACAAGAAACACACTCGGGGTAATGCACCATCCACGAAAAACATTCCCACAGAACGTTCCTTGCTGTTTTGATAGCAATTTGGTGCCGAGATGGTGAAATGGGCTGGAATCTTCTGGGTAATATAATAATATGAAACTATGTGTTACCAACTCATGTGGTACCCTCGAGTAGGCAATGTGCGGCCTATTTCTTCCTTAAACCGCCATCCATAAAGTAGCAGCGAACGAACGTAGCGTAGCGAACGGCATCCGTTTCGGTCTCTTGTTCGGTTAGGTTTCTGGGGGATACCAAGCCGGATTTTCACTTCGTATACACCATACGACTGCTGTTGTGCACATGAAAACCCTACATGATGTTGGTACGTGGCAAACTGCCTCGACATCCTACTGCTGCCGTGACGAGTCGGTGTGCACTCGTCATGGTGGTGATTGATGCTTTCGTGTGTGTGAGTATTATTGCTCTTCCAAGTGGTTTGTACCCTTTTGTTGTTTTGTTTCCCCGCGGCGTCGTATGTGCCGGGTTTTGAGACCACGGGCTCCCCATTTTTGTGGACTATATATAATCTAGCTAACAATAACAACAACTACCGCAGTAGACTAGCCTTCGTAAGGATGGCATAATCCACCTCAGGAACACGTGCATGTACACCATCTGAGGAGAAATGTAAGATTCCATATCGCATGCAATACGATCGTTTCAAGATATCTTCTTTGCAAGATCTACTGGCTCTCATTGCGTGGTACGTACGCATTAATTATTGGTGGAGAGAACAAGGGGAGAACAAGGTTTGTTTGATGCCTGCATCCCGTTCAGATAGATTGGTGGGCTGGCTCAAAATTCATCCCGTTCGGATTAATTGGTGGGCTGGCTCGGATTAATTGGTGGGCTGGCTCGAAAATCATCCCGTTCGGATTAGTTGGTGGGCTGGCTCAAAAATCATCCCGTTCGGATTAATTGGTGGGCTGGCTCATCCATCCGCCGCGCTACGCGCCACTCACAGCACACACTCCCCCGAGCTCCCTCTTCTCGTATATCTACTCCATAACCTACACCGTACTGTTTGAATCATGATGGCGAAGATGGCCAAGGTCGCACTCGTGGCGCTCACCCTGGCGGCGGGCGGACTTGCGGAGGAGAAAGTGAAGGTGTGTTTGCCAGGAGAAATGGTTTGGGGGACTGCGAGCTTTGAGGTTTGACCAAAGGGCAGTGTGGGCTACAAGTATCTGCACGCTGCTGTCGCCAGGAATCCTTCCGCACCGAGGTGTACCAACCCCCTTAAACCTTGGAGTCAAGGGCCACAAGGGCTCGCGGCGTGCCTCAGCCTCAAGCCTACCCTTCGTTTTTCGGAAAAAATAACTCCTCCGGATGTAGCAACAGGCGTAGTCTAATCTGTTCCATATGAGACTCGACAAGCATATGATGTACCGCTGTAAGCAAGGAAGAGTCTCTCGGATTTTGCCGAAAAAGGAAAACGAAACAAATCCCTCTACAGCGGAGTACTTCAAGTCAACAGGCAGTCTTGAACAAGCGGTGTGTATCGTATCCGTAACGGCAGTCTCAATGATGTCACAATCCTTCCTGCCAGACCATTTCACCGGGGAGCTCATTACATACCAACAGACACAAATCTCTCAAGTCCCCTACAAAATATACCCCATGCGGGTGACGGGAAGTGTGGGCAATGCAAAATCTACGCTAATGCGTGCATGAGCGACAGCAGTACAATTTACTCCAACTGTACACCACAGCGCCGCCCGACTGCAAGTACACGGGTGGCCAGAGGCAGGTTGTGCGTAGGTTTGGGCACCAAGTACAACCTGGGGGGGGAGGTTGTAGGGAGGTTGCAGCCCAAAGTGTGCAAGTTATCCCGCATCTTGGATAGTGGCGTTATTGCAATCAACAAGGCGGGCTGCAAGCCCGAAGAAAAAATGGGTCCAAGGTAGACGCAAATCTCTCAAGTCCCCTATATATACATATATACCCCATGCGGGTGACGGGAAGTGTGGGCAATGCAAAATCTGCGCTAATGCGTGCATGAGCTACAGCAGTACAATTTACTCCTCTAACTGAAAGCGCCGCCCGACTGCAAGTATTAGGGTTCCCTTCGAGTTGCCCCTACCTTCCGCCACTGATCCGTTCCTTCTGTAGCCGCCCCTGCCTCCTTCCTCACCCCCTCATTCTTGTCTACGACGCCGACGTCGTTCTTTGTTCGACGTTTTGTCACCCTCGAAACAAAGCGCCACGCAACACAATACTGGTAGTCCATGTACTTCTCGGAGTTGTTGGCGGACGGTGACACCGTGGAGCTGCTCACCAACGGACCTTTCACGATCAGTGCTGCGTGCGGCACCCTCGGAGGCGAAGCGGAGGTGAGTACCTTGACCGTCGTGTTTGTTACTGACTTGCGTCCCATTTTGTGACTGTCTTGGCCATCTTGGTGTTCTGCCTACTGCAGTTGTAGATGATATGGTTTGTTGTTGTTGATGTGCTTGTGCTGTCGTGTTGACGTTTTCCGACAAATTTCAGACGTACGCCCCCGTACCTGTACTTGTATTTGGAGTGGATAGTGTGTTGATTTTCTGTCCCTGTTCAAAGTTTTTTCGCGCGCAATGTTGCTGGTGCCGAGCATGATCGTACAGATAGCGCCGGCAGTTAAGAAAATTATGTGAGGAAAAAAAGGCTCAAGTTTTCCGAACAATAAGAAAAAGGGGCTAAGAAACATGTAGCTCAATCTCGACCACAACGTAAGAAACGCCCCAATAAGAAACATGATGGTGCGATATCCCCACGACATCAGAAATCTTCGATGCTCCCACCCCCTTAGCTGAACAAAAGCTCATTTGATTGCAGAGGGCAGAGTGGTTATTTTGTTTTCTCGCGCGCCCCCCCGCCCCCCCCGGTGTTTGCCATCGGGATTGGGTTTTCGTCGCTTGGCAAA